GATCGTACCCTTTTTTCCGTACCCATTTCGGGCGTCCGACATCGAGGACGTGCAGCTTCGATCCAGTGGCGCTTGGACCAACGGCACGGCCAACGCGAGCTCTTGGGCCAACTGCCACGCCCAGGTTGTCAACAGGACGCCTGCCGATGTGGACTTGGTCCAGGAGCACAAGATCCATTCCGACATCCTGCTTGAATCGGCAGCCCAGGCTTCGAAGCATGCCGGGTTCCGCTCGCACCTCGGCATGGCGCATGCCATTGCATGAGATCGAGTTCGTGGTGGTGTCGGTATTCTTTGCCGGCGTCGCTTCGGAATGCATCCACACGCAGAATTGGTTGCTGATGGCATGGGGCATCGGCTCCAGGCCGCCTGGGTGGGCGCGGTCCTCAAGGGCGGCATCCACATCTGCAGCATTTGGCTCTTCCACAGCTAGGCATCTCGGAGGCAAATTTGTGCAATCTTGCTGGAGCTGCTGCTCTGCTAGGAACCCTACCTGGGCCATGGGCAATCGCGGGCGACTGGCACATCACTCTGCAGATGCTCACTGGCACTGACTGCCTGGACGTCGTGAGGGGCCAGATCGTTTCCCCACAGCTTCAGACGTCCAAAGGTTCCAGAAATGACGTTTTCGTGGTCAGCCGTACGCTTGCTCATGCTGTATTGGGTGCAAGTCGTATCGACACCGGTGGCTTCACCCCGCATTTCCCTGCCCAGCTCTTCCTGTCGGGCGACGAGCGGCGCAAGGCAGTCCGCCGCGTGATTCGTCCTGGTCGTGTCGACGTTGCATTGCCTGCTGGCCCGCTGACGCGTCCCGAGCTGGACGCATGGGAGACCGGCGCTATCTGTGACGTGGCGCAGCTGGAGGCTGCCATCGATCGATGGCACTATGTTCCTCTGTCCACCTTCACCTCGCTGACCGGCGTGTTCTCGCCGTGGCTTCGGCCGCGAGTGTTCGGCACGTGCGCACGACGCTGCTGCGGTCATCGCGCGGTCAGTGCCGCAGGCTGCCGACAGCGCGCTGCTCGCGCGCCAGTGGTCGAAGATACGTGGCGCGGCGCGACGGGTCGCCAAGGCCCGGGGCGAGACGCCCGACGGCATGCAGGCCTGGGCTTGTGCATTTCGCCGAGTGCAGCTCTCGCGCAAACACTTGGATCTGCGTACGCTGGCCACTGCGGCAGCCAGGCGCGCCAGCAAGATCGAGGATTCCGCGGCACAAGCCCGCATGGTCCATCACCGCGCTGGTTTTGCAGGCCCGGATGGACCTGCCCCGTCGGGCAACACGCCGCGAGCCTCCGGGAGACTGGCCTTCCGATGCGTCCGTGGTCTCGGCGGATGCTCCCGATCCCACAGCGGTGATTGCTACCTTGAGGATTTGATGCCTGACGCGGACGATCTGGACCGCAAGCCCGCGCGCGAGAGGGTCGACGCGCACGTCGACGCTTGCGGACGAGCCACCGCGGCTCCGCTCTCTGAGCAGGCCGCCCTCGATCGCGAAGCCGCAGGTTTGGCCGACAATTGAGCAGTTGAGTAGACATGCTGTGAACAAGCGTTCCCTCAGCACCTCGGCTCTGGATCCCATCACCCTGTGGGACCTGGACCAGGCCGTGTTGTCGTTCCCCATTGGATCGGGCCTTTGGAGCCGACGACATGGCGCCGCGGGCCATCCTACGACTCCCAGAGGTGGCGCGCATCATGCTCATCCAAGTGTTGCTCGCTGCCGAACGGCTGGGGCGCTGGTCGGACGCGTGCAACTTGGTGCTCATCGTGCTGCTGCCCAAGCTGGACGGAGGGCTGCGACCTATCGGGCTCTTCCCCAGGTGTGCCTGGACATGTTCGAGGTGCGCCCGGAGCTCACCGTGTCACCGACCAAGTCCTTCGCAGTGGCATGGCAGCCGAGGACGGATGCCCGCCTGTCGCGCAGCACGCGGCCTCAGACTCTCGCCCCGAAGCGTGGCATTGAGCTACTTGGCACGCCCTGCTCGGGCGGGCGGAGGCGGGCCGTCGGCGCGCAGAAGACCCGCCTCGAAGAACTGCGGTGGCGCCATGCCACAAGTGCACGCCCTTCGCCGCCAGCGGATTGACGTGACACGCGCAGTGGGGGCCATGGCTAGCCCTGGCACGCTCTACGGCGTCGACATCGCCGGGGCGTCCAACATGCAGCTGCACAGTGCGAGGGTTGCTGCCCTGAGCGCGGCCCTGCTGCCGGGGGCCCATCGCAACGTCGACGTTGGCTTCGCTGTGCCGGACGCTGGGAGCGCCACTGTGGACTCCGCCGCATATGCGGCGCACGCGACGCCGTTGCGACACTGGGGTCTGGCATACTGGCCAGACTGGGCACCTTCCTCGGAGCTCGAGCGCATCTTCGGCCTCGCGCGGCATCATTTGCAGGACGTGGTAGCCCAGGGGGGCCGGTCGCGGTGGTCTTCAGTCACAGGGAACGTGGCCGGCGTTATCGCCACTGCTTGGCGCCTCGGTTGTGCACAGATCTGTGGACCGATGGCACACCCGAAGGGTGGTTTCCACGCCCCCCTGTCTCATCGCGTGGGATCCCGACGTGCGCCCCCCGGAGCAGACCGAGATGCCCACTCTGCTCGTGGACCGCCCGATTGGGCTGCTGCTCGAAGGACGTGGGAAACCTTGCAGCACGGTGCCGCAAGTGGACGGGGCGCTGCCGTTCCCAGCTTCTCTCCGCAGCCACGGGCGGGCAGTGGCCGCAGGTCCGGATCGAGATGTTGCCGATCGTTGGCGGCTTTGTCGATCGACGCAGCCAGCTCTGTGGCGTTGCCCTTGGCACTCTTCTGCACCGCCGTGTTTGCGCGGCCTCGCGATCCCAGGAAAGGTGGCCCAACCCGCCCGAGGAGTGCAACCTCCTCGTCTCGTCGCGCCTTGAGGCCCGGTTGGACCTTCTCCGGACTCGAGGCTTGCTCGCTCTCTGGCTGCCACGGCCAGCACTGCAGGTGCACCTTGCCGTCCAGTGGCACCCTGGCACCAGACGAGAGCCACACGGACTTCTGCTGGCCATGAAGTACTGGTCGCGGCGGGAATTGCGGCGCACTGGCTTTGCCATCGTCGTCGTGTCGGCCGACGGGGACCTTATCGCGCGTGGCAATGCTGTGCCTCCGCCCTGGATTCACACCGCGACAGCCTCGGGCTATGGGCCGTCTTCCCCGCGCTGTGCTGTCCATCGCCACCGTGTCGCGGTCCATCCGCACGGGCGGCCGCTCGATCCTCTCAGCGGCCACAGCCGGAACAGTGCAAGCCACCAAGCCTTCGAGGATGCTTGCCCAAGTTTGGTCGCAAATTGCCACCGTCCTTGATGGCGACTCGTCCTGGCTGGTTACTTCGGGCAAGTTCACGCGAATGCCGGCACACGGCACGGCCGCTGTGATCGGCACGGCTCTTCGATCCGATGGCGCTGCGGTCACGGCGGTAGATCAGAGGTCCAACTGGTTGGCCAATGTCGTGGCCAGGGCGGCTGCCAGTTGCCCGCTGCTGCGCGTCGCAGCCCAGCGCCCTTCTGCTGGTCGCGGAGAAGCTGGTTGCGCACGAGGCCGCAGTCTTCGGGGCCATCACTGACGCGGCGAATCACCGCGTGCGGGTGGAGCTCGGGCAGGACGACCGCCCACGGCGCACGCTCGTGCGCGACGCCGCGGCCGATGGGGCAAGCCCGCGCTAGCGCCGGTGCGCCGCGTGTGCCGCCAGAGGCTCCGGCTGCTACTGCAGTAATGGCGGCCCCGCCCCCTGGCGAGCGCAGCGGGGCCCGAGCCCGCGGGCGCGCGGGGCCCAGTGCAGGGCACATGTTGCGGCGTCGCGCGCCGCCTCGGCGGCCCGGGCTGTTGTCGACGCGGCTGCCACACAGGCGATCTGCGAGGCGCGCGCGGCTGCATGGCGGCCTTCTTCGGCGCTGCTGGCTGCCGAGCGGCTGGCTGCCCTGAGGGCGCGCGCCCTGGCCAGGCTGGGCCAGGCCAACTCGCAATAGCCCCCCGCGCTGCGGCCCAACTCGGTGCCGCGAGCGTCGGTGGGCGCGCGCTGCCCCGCGCTGCGCTGCTGCTAAGGGCTTCTCCTCCAGGACAAAAGCGTTTCATCTCGGCCTCCTGAGGCCACGGGCCCGGGAGTGTTAAGACACTACTCGGGACGAAGAGCAAGTCCCCCAGAAAGGATAGAGATCTTCGTGGGCCCACGGCGCGAAAGCAGTGCGTCGTTGGAGGGGAGGGTGGTCCTCGAGATCGGATGCGTCGAAGGAGTGAAGGAGGTCAAGGGGTGTATGGAAATCATGGCTAGGCCAAGATATCTCCCAGGCAGCATGGCCCCCTGCTCCTCTTGAAGTACGACCTCTGCCCCCCTTCGCTCGCGCACATGCCTACGGCCATGATGCGCTACGGTCAGGAGCGCTCGCTCACAATGGCGTGTCGCGTCGGGTCGAGTCGCCAGTTTCGGCCCACCACAGCGCGCCCCAGCCACAAAGCATCCACGTTCCGAATTTTGTTCCCACCTCACCTCGCACGAATCAGAGCGGCACGCTTCCAGCTTGCAAGGCACAGCGAGTCGCCGGGGGGGGCCGCAACATTCTGAACACAAGTTCCTGACCAGTCCCCACCCCCCCCCCATTCATGGCCCCCCTCTTGAGCGCACCCGACGGGAATGCGCGCCGCAACTTCTAGCACCCCCCTGGACAGATGTCCCCACCCCCTCCCCAGACCCGGCCGAAGAGCGTTTTGGCGAGGCGGGCCCGGCCTTGGCAGGGAGGGTGCTTCAGGAGGCCACGCAGGAAACCCAACGCGCAGCAAGCATTGGCAGCACGAGCGCCTCCCGGCCCCAGACCCCCGATGGAGGCTCGAAGCTCGAGCTACGCAGCCGAAGGATGTCCGAAAAAACTTCCAGCAACGGCGACGGCGGCGGCACCCGAGGTGGGACCCTCCAGCTACGTGCTCGTGCTGGAGCGGGCAGGTGCCCCTCAGGAGCCGCCCGCGATCAGCCGGCAGAGCACTGCGGCACCAGAGGCCCGCTCCATCCCTCCTCCTCCTCCTCCTCCTCCTCCTCCTCCTCCTCCTCCTCCTCCTCCTCCTCCTCCTCCTCCTCCTCCTCCTCCTCTCCTCCTCCTCTCCTCCTCCTCCTCCTCCTCCTCCTCCTCCTCCTCCTCCCCTCCTCCTCGTCCTCCCCCTCCTGCTCCTCCTGCTCCTCCTCCTCCTCCACCTCCTCCTCCTCCTCTCATTTTTTCTCTCATTTCCCATGCCGACCAAGATCAGTGACCACTGGCGAGCGAGCGATAGAGGACCGCGGCGACCCGCGGGCTACAGGGGCGAGGGCCCGAAAACCGAATCGCCACCCTGGGCGCGATCACCAAGGAACGGGCACGGGTTCGGCCCAGAAATCCGAGGGATCCTGAAAGGGGCCTCCTGGAGCCCCCTGAGGCCTCTTTCGGCCCTTCGCCGCCTCCAGGTCGGCCTGGAGACGGTCCGCACACGCATTCAATTCAGATGGGGTGAAACCGAACCTAGCGCTCAGCTGCTGGGCCGTCCACTTTTCCCCCCAAACCCCCTCCACCGCCGCCTCCCCGTCACTACCTGGCCCAGCAGGCTGGAGGAGGGTCGCGCCTGCTCCTCGAAGTCCAAGGCAGGCGACCGCCGCCAGTTCTGGCAGTGAAGGCGTGCGTGGGGGCCCTATCGACCAACCCTTATATTGGGGGGCCCAGGACGGGAACTGCCCCTTCGCAGCTCGGTTCCGCTGGCGCCTGAGCGCCACAGTGATCATCGTGGGCGAGCAGTCCTGGCATAGATTCTTGGCTCCTCCCCACGAATACGCACCACAACAGGTGCAAAATAAAACAGTGGACCCTCCCAAGATCGGCAATCCGTCGGGACCGAAGACACGTGCACAGGCAAGAGCGTGTTGGGTGAGACGCATCAACATGCCCAGCTCAGGGGTCTCTTCAGCCCACAGGAAGGAATCGGTGGCGATTCGGAGCCTCGGGAGCGAGAGCTGCTGGGAAGGGTCCTCACCGCGAGCCAGACGTTCAACCTTGGCCGCCTGCCGCTGGGCCTTGTCAGGGAGGGGGTCCGAGTCGCGGATGCCTCGCTCCGCCATATGGACCTCTTGCTCTCCCGCCCAGCGCAGCACCTGAGTGACAAAGGAGCTGAGGGCCCGAATCTGCTTCTTGGCCTCACTCGTGGCCGGGTGGAGCTGGGCCCCTTTCTTGGCGAGCTCGTCTGCTCGGTCCGAGCCGAGCTTACAGAACGTGGTGGTGCGGCCCGCATCGACATTTCCCCAAGAGCAGTGGGCCTTCACCTTGGTGACCGAGGGCGGGCCTGCGTCATAAACTGAATGGACGCGGCTCCACAGGTGCGCACTGCGGGATCCTGCTTCCACCGATCCGATCGGGTCTTGAAAGGCCGCGACCGTGGCAGCACAATCTATGAAGAAACGATGCTCACTGAGTGTGTCCACACACCCTGCGGCTGCCATCATGATGGCGAAATCTTCCCCGTCTCGCGCTGTCTGGAAGGGGCCTTGCTCGTACGGCACCGCCCCGTAACACCCCGAAACGAAACCACCGTCGTCGTCCACCTGAGCGAGGCCCCAACCAGCCCGCGAGAGCAGGGGGTCAGTCGGGTCCATGGCGGAGCCGTCGGAAAAAATATTCCCCGAGAGGGCCCCGCTGGCTGGCCGATTGACCCAAACAATGTGGGCCTGACCGCAATGCAACGGGGGTGGGACGAGCTCAAGAGGGGCGGGGAATATGCCAGCGGCAGCCTTCTCAAGGTCCTGACACCATTCCTCAAGCTGCCGCGCCTGCTGGCGCACCGAAGGGTCAAGGGACGCGCGGCGATCACCCTCGAACGCGTCGCAACAAAACCTACGATGGAACAGCGTGCCTGGCGCACGTCTACATAACTTACAGAGTGGCGACTCCGCCAGCCCGTGGGCATGCAGTCGGGCCTGGGTCCAGTGACATTGCGACAGCAGGCTACGCACCGCCTCCTGATGGTGAGGCGTCCACAGGCACCTGCACGGTCCTTCGATGGCCTCTCTGATGGGGCCCCAGAAAATCGGCCTTAGCCAGACCTGGGAGGACGACCTGCTGCCCAGGGCGATAACATCTGAAACATAGGCGGCAGAGACCCTGGCCAGAGCAGCAACCTGCTTCGGGGCTAGCGCTAACAGATCGATGGTGGCCCCCCGTTCCGAGAGGAGGGTCTTGGCATCAATCACCTGCCAGCCTAGGGCCCTGACCGTCTGTACAAACACATGGGCTGGGGATTTCACGACAGTCCACGCGAACTTGGCAGCTTGTAGCTCTTCCAAAGCCCCACGAAGCGCCTGCTGGAGGAGCTGGAGAGAGGGTCTCCCGTCCCAGAGGGCCTGAGCCCAAAAAAGCACAACCTGGCTATGGTACAGGACCATGGGGTCCATCTTTAAACCAGCTGCAGACGAGTGTAGACGGAGCCCCAATGAGGCCGTGCCCTTCACCTTGTGAAGGCTATTCAGGGCTCCTCGCCGAAGGCCTCGAAGTTGAGCACCAGTGAGCCCAGTGACAGGAGCGCCCCATAGAGCCGTCGCTTGTGGCCCAGCACGCTGTACCCGATGAATGGCCGCAGTTCCTCTGAGGCGCCTAAGTCTCCAGCTCCTCTTGGCCCCCTTGAGCAGACGGGACTTACAGGTGGGGTTGCGACGCCTCCTAGCACACGTAGCATCCGATCCCAGGCTGCGGACCACCCCTTTCCTGGAGAAGCGGAGGCCCTGCCATCGATGCTCAAGACCCTTGGCAAGTCGGGCAGAGGATGCAATGAAGTGGCTCTTGTGGTCCGCCAAGACCAGTTCAAGACGACGGAAGCCTTTGGTCATTTTTACACCGACATCCCCAAGCTCCTTGGTCACGAACGCCTCGGAGCCTAGCGCCTGCACGTGGACATCGTCCACTACGTTCCGAACGTGCACAGCTGGGTGCTGCTGACTAATCGAATGCAGCAGCCTATACAAGAGCGTACGCGCAAAGCTCGTTGCCAAGGTGCATCCCGCCAAGACCGTGCCTTCTGCATAGAATATATCACTTATGGCGTTCTGAAAACTAAGGGTCCGCGCTCCAGAATACACCCGACAAGCGATAAACACGAGTCTGAGATTCATGCCCGTCTCGCGAGCTTCCACCATGAGCTTATTATGCGAGATATACTCGTAGAATTTAGCCAAATCCGTGAACAAGGTAGCCACCTGGAAGTTATTCAGGCTAGAAACATACGAGTACATGTTATGCTCCCACCCAGCTCTGTCACAAGTTCGCCCCTTGGAACCCCAAAAGCAGGGAATATTGTGAGCCGCCTCCCAAGCTCGAGCGATGTCTTGCCGAAGCCTACCCCAGACACGGCACAAGCTGCATATCAATGCAATGGGCCGCAAACCGTCACTGTCGGGCTTACCGATAAACACGATGATCGACGGCCACTTGGTGGGGAGGGTAGGTTTGGCTTCCCACAGCAGTAGAACGTCTAGTAGTCGCAGCTGGAAGCTCTCATCCAAAAGTAGCCACGTACGTGGATTCACACAGTCCACCCCCAGCCCCACGTCGTGCCGAAACCTCTTGAGAGCCCCTCGAAGCTGCAGGAGATCTGGAGGTGGGAGGGTCGTGCTGAGGGCCTCCCGCTCCTGCTCGCTGCTGATGGACGTCTTACCGTTCTGCCAGAACTCGTCCCATTGGTCTTTGAGGCTCTGGATGGCCTGATCTCCCTGGAGCGGCAGCCCGTCGGGGCCAATCGGGTTCGGGGTGGGCCGGGTGTCCCGAGCAAAGCGATGCGCCGCTTTCCCTCCGCCAGCTACCGCATCACGAGCCCACGCTCTCCACCTCTGCCACCTGGCCTTTCCTTCCGCCTTCAGAACCCTCTGGGTGGTCAAATCCAGGTCCTCCAGAAACTGGCCAAACTCGTCACCCTGCTGCTGGCACGTTTCAACGATAGAAGGTAAGTCTTTCAGCGCACCAAGGTCAGGCCCTAACACAACTGGGTTGAGGCTGCGCAGGGCCTGGCACAGCCCATCGATGGCTGTCGCAAAGGTCTGGATGTCAGCCTTTTCCCAAAGCTTGCTGATCTTATGCACAATGGTCTGGAGGGTACGCCACTCACGAGCCTTCGGCGAGGTCCCCTGGTCCCATTTCCTACTCAAAAGCGTAGCCAACTGCACCGACCTCGTCTGAAACCCTCCAGCACGGCCTCTGAAGGGGGTGTCCTCGCCGTCCACGAGGTCGAACATGCGACAACATTCGTCCTCCATATGCCCTAACCATTCGCTCCAGGTATCTTCCAGGGAGGCCTCCAAGGGAAGTTGAGTGGGTTCCCAAGACCAGTCGTGAGCACAGGGTTCGCGTTGGCATCCGATCGGCAACTTGGTGGGGAAAGGCTTCCACGTCACACGTACCTGCACAGGCAGTCGAAGTGAAAACCCTCGCAGCGTCAGCATCACTGGGGTGTGGGGCCCGCACGGCGCTGAGTGCAGCGCCCTGACGTCGACGACACTGGACGCCACACCTCGTGAGACAAGGAAAAAGTCCAGGCACCTGGCGGAGCCTGTCGCTGCAAACGTAGGCACCTTAGGGGCGATGATCGTCGCTCCCAGCAGCTGGCTCCACCGCTGGAGCCCCAGGTTACTCGGCTCCATGTTCAGGTCCCCTCCCAAGATCCAAGGGCGCCCACACCCTTGTAAGAAGGCTCCCAGGTCCTCCAGAAGTTCCAGGTTGTCTCCAGAGCATTCCTGACCCACGTGCGAGTACAGCGATATCCACAAGAAGCCCGTGGGGATCATAGCATCGACATGCATGGCCGAGACCCTCCCAAGAGCAGAACGTCGGAGGCTCAGCTCACTGTCCAATAGCGGTCTGCATCGGATGTGCGAGGCTACCCCCGTCATGGTCCCCGCGCTCGTGGCCAACTGGTGATCTCCCGTCCGAACAGCAGGATTGAACGTGGCTTTAACCCCACGGAGGCTGGCCCATTTCTGAGCAGACCGAATCGAG